GAAGATCAAGTCTGCCTTAAAAGGAACCTGGTTCGAGTCGATGGAAAAGGTAAAACGAAAATCGGCGGAGCTCCTGAATGCTCTTACAAAAGAAGACTTCCAGCATTGCTTTGACCAATGGAAAAAACGAATGGAACGGTGTGTGGCGAGGAGAGGGGAGACATTGAAGGGGAGCATTCAATTGTAGAATAATTTTTAAAATAAAACTCTTTTTCATAAGCAGTCTCGTTATTTAATAGCCAGACCTCGTATACTGAATGTAGGCCTTAACTTATGTCTGTAAAGAAATTCAGAGTTTGTAGACATAAGAAATTGTAAAAATATAATATTCTTGAGGTTTTCACGGCTTTCTATATATTAGGTTGTTCGGAAAGTAATTTCGTTTTTTTTTTATGAAAATGAAACGACAATTTCTTATAGTAAATAAATATTTTATTAAATTATATATTGTCCATTCTGGTCCAATATCTTTTGTTATCTTTCTGGCAGTAGCATGATTCCACGCTCATAAAATTTTTGTTCTTTGCTGGCAAAAAACTGATCCAGGTGATTTTTGACTTCCTCATTTAAAGTAAAGGTTTTACCGTCTAAAAAATTTTGTAGAGACCGGAACAAATAATAATCAGAAGGTGCCAAATCTGGAGAATATGGTGGGTGTGGCAGTATATCCCATCCAAGCTGTAAAAGCTTCTGGCAAGTTACCAAACTTGTATGAGGTCTCGCATTATCTTGGTGGAACACTACACCTTTTTTATTGATCAATTCTGGCCTTTTCTGGCGTTTAAGTGAATCATTCAATTTGTCCAGCTGATGACAGTATACTTCAGAATTGATCGTTGTGTTGTCCGATAGAAGCTAAAAAAAAACGATTCCTTAGAAATTCCACCAAACAGATAGCATTATCTTTTTTTGATAAATATCGGCTTTCGAAATGCTTTGAGCCGGTTCATCTTTTTTATTCCATGATCTCTTGCTTTTAACATTGTTGTAGACAACCCATTTCTCGTCCCCAGTGATGATGCGCTTCAAAAATGGATCATTTTCTTGACGTTTGAGAAGCAAATCACAGACGTCAATGCGACGGCACAAATTTCTTTCTGAAAGAACATGAGGAACCTATATGTCGAGCTTTGAGATTAAACCTAGGCGTTTCAAATGATCATGAACGGTCGAATTCGATAAATTTAATCTCTTAGCGATCTCACGAGTTGTTATTCGCCGGTTTGCATCAATTAATGCCTTTATTATGTCTTCATCAGCTTCAACTGGCCTTCCAGAACGTGGTGCATCTTCAACATCAAAATTGCCGGATCGAAATTTTGCAAACCAGTTTTGGCACTGGCGTTCTGTCAATACATCATCTCCATACACATCGGATAATTTTTTTCTTGCTTGAACAGCATTTTTACCTTTTCGATAGTAAAAAAGTAAAATATGCCGAAAATTCTGCTTTTCACTTTCCATATTTGATAGGCACCAAAAACTACTGCGTAGAATCAATCGAACTTTTTTCACAAGCAAGCCTTGCTATATCAGCTGTCAAAATATATAATGATTAATGCGGCTTAAGTGTGAAGTTGGCTGTGAAAAAATACAATTAAGTCCTCTGTTGGGAAAAAACGAAATTACTTTCCGAACAACCCAATAAAAGTTATGCGTTTCACGGGTTTCCTCCGTATCCAGATCCATTCTTGGAATGCCAACGTTTCGTGGACTTTGCAGTCCACTTC